CAGGCAATGTACATAATGTGACGACATGACATTGTTGTCACATTTGACTTGCTTCAAAAAATTCATAATTCGAAATTGTTTCCTGCATTCCATACTGATAATGGAAAGATTACCAAAGATCCAAAACATTACAACTATTTCCATAGCAGTCTAACTCCTTGTTCAGCATAACCTAACATTCTAAGTTGTTTACCATGACACAAAACATTCTAACTCTTTTGCGAATCTTGGGTTCTCCTTCGGTCCATGCTTCACCTTTTTCTTCAGGACCTTCTAAACAATCTCACGACTTACTCCTCAAGTCAATGATGATACGGTGATGAGCTCGAGCCGCTTAGACTTTACATGAGGACAATGAAGCTCTGGTCGAAAGGACACGATTTGTGAACCGATTTTCTTGGATTAGATTTTGAAGCTCCTGGTTTTCACACTTTGGTAAACGCTATCCGGTTCCAAGAAAATTCGAGTCAAAATGTAAACCATGTTCTTAGTTTCATGTTCAGAAAGTTCTTTCCTATGCCAGAAAAATTCATAATGGGTCTAGTAAAACCAAACAATATAGCTGAATATATGTAGCAAACATGACTGTTCAATTAAAATATAGCTAAAACAGGTAGTATGATAAGATCATGAGAGTGAACACACCTTTTAAAGAATTCTCCATGGAACCAGAGAAGAGTTTGTTAGCTCCAACAACTAATGAGACAACAACTAACGTATGACCCTTAAGTGATGCAGCTGGCTCAAAGATGCTTGTGGCTGGATTATACATCCATGCCAAGATTGATGAATCCTGCACTAAATATTTTAACACTTATAAGTTGTTCATCCTATACAACTGCAAAAGAATGACTACAGACAGCAGGATGATGCATCCAGAAGTCTAATGCAACAAAAACATCACTAATATGTCAAAACTTCAGTTTATACAGTTGAGCCACAGATAAGGACAGAAAGATCCATAATCCACTGGCATATTACCTGGGTGCCAGCAAATAGCAAGCCACTACCCACAACCATAGCATAAACTTGTCCAACAGGCCCACTAAGACTTAGGTCAGTGTTGGTCTGCAAGTTCCATGCATAAAAAAATATGCAAACCCTTAGATATCAATTTGAAAAGGGACCATCATTGGTAAAAAAAGAACTAACTCAGAAAAATGCAGATACTAACTCACCGGCAGACATAAACTAAAAGCAAAGATCAAGCATACTGGGAATCGACTAAATTTCATGTCTTCCTAACCTTCACAAGATTTGGGATACCGACAAAAATCCATGGACCTTCGGTGATCATGCAACCTACTTCACCACCCAGATTGATAACTCCCATGCATTGGATAATCACGACAAGTAAACTATTAGAAAACTTATACAATAAAAGATTACAGAACAAGGAATGGAGGAACCAACTATTTATACAGTTAGACTATAGCAACCTGGCCGGATTGGCAATCCCAAATCCTGGCAGTTTCATCTTGGCTCCCCATGTAAAGCTTATTAGACCTAGGTGGCAAAGCAATCCCACTGACAACCTGCTCATCATAACAAGAAAAAAATCCGATTATTTTAACTTCGGAGCAGGATAAACAAACTAGATGGCTAGTTTTAATGAGACACAAAGAACAACCATTTCCAGGCACATAATCACAACACGTCAATACTAATGGGAGAGAGAACAACTACTAACTAATATATCGTGGGTGAGAGAGAACAAAGCAGAAAAAGAAGGGATAATTTGTTGGCAAATATTAGCAGGCCTACAAAACAAAAGAAATCAATTTTGAAATTACCTCTGTTGGTGGAGGTGGCGCCGGCCGGCGCAGGAGCAGGAGCAAGAGCCGGGAGGATGAACGCCGACCAGAGTAGAGGCAGGGAGAACGAAGAGTCAAGAGAGGCAGCAAGGTAGGAGAAACTTCTTCGACGACTAGAGCTTGGTTCGTCGCTGAGTTCGCGGGCTAGAGGTTGCCAAATCGCTGGTTCTTGATCGACGAGTGATGGGGAGCGGCGACATGGCGATGGGTTTTGGGGCGGAGCTTTCAGAGCTCGTCTCCGGTTCCTCACGAAATGGAATTAGGGTTCAGTGAGTCCGAAATTGTTTCCTTTTTTATTTTTTAAATTTCATTTTATAATAGCACTGAAAAAGGCGATCAATAAATTAAATGTGTATTAGGGGCAGTTGGGTGGGTGATTTGAATTTTTCAACTGCAGGGGGAAATGTGGGTGGGCTTGGGGAATATTTTTGGGCGGGATATGTTTGTAATTTGGGCGGGGTATGGTCAAATTTTGGGTGGAGAATGAGATTTGTGTCAGTTCAACATAAAATGTATCGGCAAGGCCGATTGGTTTCAGTCTCACACGAGGTTTCAGTCTGACAAAAGCAAAAATGACGAAAATGACTTTTGTCGAAAACGAAACTACTATATTATGACGAGCATGCCTTTTGTCAAAGTCGAAACCACTATATTATGATGAACATACCCTTTTGTCAGCTCGCTGTGAGTTTATTGCTATCTATTGTGACAAAATACTTTGTCATTTAAACAATTAAGGAATGCATAATTTGGCAAACTTAATTGTGACACGAAGTATTTGTCACATTACTCACTTTAAATGACGAAATATTCAGACAACAAGAAATTTGTCACTGTTGAGTCTCTTACATCCCGATTTGGGACGCCTATTTTGACAAAATTAATTTTGACACGAAATATTTGTCACGTTATTCACTTTAAATGACGACTTATTCTGACAACAGTAATTTTGTCACATTAGGCATACCAAATAGGACATATATTATTTTTGTCATATCACCATACCTATTGTGATAAATAGAAAAATTTGTCCTAATAGGCCGAATTTGTTGTAGTGGCCCAACTTAAGCCAATTTAATTAATATGGTTAAGTTAGCCTTATAAATCACTACCACTTCTTGAAAATTATCAATGTGGTACTAAGTGAATTTTTAAGTGGTAAACATAACCGTAAACCAATAGTTGAGGAGTGAAACAGAGGTTCAATTAACATTCAAATGGAGAAAGGAGACTTAACGTAAAGATAGGCATTGTGCTGAAATTTAGTATTGTTGATGAAAGTTCTCAAGAATGGATGTGGTTGAGGGGAAGAAGTCACGAGGGACGAAGGACGGAGCCAGCAAGCGCCCTATCTTGCTCGCGAATGCTCGCCTTTCACCATCCTTCTACTGCTACTGATTTGGGATTTTGGAATTAGGGTTTGTATTTTATAGTGATGATTTAGGGAAATGGAAAGAGTATTTATGGATTGATTGACTTGTTGGTGTTCGGTCGAGGGTGGAAAGACGATATGGAGGTACTCCACGGTGGAACAGGGCTACAAGGGAAGATTGGGGTACTCGGTTAAAAGGAAGGAGAAGAGGCTTCTAGAGACTCTGTAGAGACGGCTGCGATTCTTTTCGTCTCAATGGGGAGGGGTATGTTTTAAAAATTGACATAATCTTTTGTGGTTGAATCATGGTTGACGCAATTGTGATGGAATTTGTAACAGAAGGTCAAGTTTGGTAACTTATTTATTATATAAGGGAAAATTTGATGTGATACATAACAGAGGGGCAAGTTTGAGAAAATATCATAATAGAGGGGCAATTTATACTATTGACCTTTAAATCTTCTACGCTTTATAAAATAATAGTCAAACCTATAGAGATAAAACTCTCCGTTAACCTTTCGTCAATATTTCTGTTAAGCAGGTTAATTTCATTAGGAGGATGCTGAGTATCAAAGTTGAGCTATATACTATTATAAAAATAAATCATTTCTAAAAAGAAGAATTTGCATAAAAAAGAAAATAACTAAACCAAAAATTTTCTTCTTTGTTTTCTCTGTCGTCGTCATCCTCTTCTTTTCTACTCGTTTCTTCTCTCGCCACATGATATATATATATACATGGTTGTGATGCTAGTGGCATGTTGACTAATTGAAATAGGTTCAATAGTTCTAATTATGTAGCCGAGGGTGAAAATGTAGCCACTCGCCCACTCCTCATAACAAGTAACATACATCATCACAAAGCATCACTCGAATCAAAACTCAACACTCCCCGACTCATCCCGCTCGACCTGGAGGAGGCAATTGATAGACCCAGATGAAAGCATCACTCCAAGCCATTCTTCCTCATCAAGGTATGCACGTAGTCGAGCATGTGGCTCCTCCACTTTGGGTCCCTCTGCTGGTTCCTCGGGATGGTCTCCAGATCAGCAAAGGATGTCTGAGATTCTTCGTCAAAAGATGGCCGAGGAAGACTGGACTGTCCGGCGTGGAAGCTGTGACGAGCTGGACTTGACGAAGATGAACTCAGCCTCCTCCTATTAGGAAGACCGGGGAGAGTGTGACTAACTCCCCCTACAATCACCGTGTTGGTCTCCGGGATCTCTAGACCCCGAACACCCCAGATACCTTCCTCATTATGATCCAGAGTCTTCAAATATGTCTTTAGATGCGAGAATGGAACTAGAACTGTGTAGGTATCTAACTGACTATCGGCTACAATCACATCAACCACAAGGTGTCTGGCGATCCTGGTGATGTAGGAACCTCCATGTAAAGCTTGAAAAGTCTTTTCTGAACCATGAGGAAGAGTCTGCAGAATGGCTCGGCCCAGGTGAAGATGAATGTCGCTCTGCATGCTCCAAATGAAGGTCATATCTTTGGCCATGAGGTTTCCCTTGATCCCATTCTTTCCGCCAACTGAGCGAGAAATGACATGATGAATGAGCCGAAACTCAAGTAAAACCTCACTCCCCTTAAACAGCTTCACATCCCAGGGTTAGAAGCCAGGGATTTTCATGACGTTCTCATAGAAGTCACGAGGAAAGTGAAACTCAGTCTCCGCCTTCAAAGAGATGTAGGAGTCGTGGTCGGCGATGAACTCCGGAGGGTAGATGTCAAGAGCGAAAGTGAACTCTCTCATCGTCATCTGCCTCTCGACCCTTCCCAAACTAAAATTGACCAGGGGGTTGTCCTCTAAATCAGCACTCTCAGTGTGAGGACTTTGTAAACCCTCTCATTGATCTCCAAAACCCTGCGCCGCACCGGGTCTCCGATCCTATCCCTGATCTGGTGCCACACCCAACTGAGCAAAGAGTACCCAGTTGAGGTACTCACTCTCCCGTGCAGCCATCCCTTAGAAGCGTTGGAGATGATCTCTGCAGAGGAGTGTGATGGCTCGAAGGAAGTGATGATCCACATGGGGCATCACTTCCCTTGGTGTTCTCCTCTGGGGCTGCTTGGGTTGCTATTCAACCTCCTCCTCTGCATGAGGCTTGGGGTCCGAATGACATTGAGGCTTCTCTTGTCTTGGAGCTATCTCAACTGGGGCAGCTTGCCGATCCCTTCACCGGTTCTTCTTGAAGTACTAAATGAAGCTCGAGAAGGGGGACTGTCTCTCTGGAGGATCAGAACCCTCTCCTCTGTCAATCCCTTGCCCTCTGTAATTTCCCTTGAAAATCCAGAAATGCAGTCAATACAAAGTGGCAAAATAGATTCAACATACAAGGAGTTCTCCCCCCCCCCCACTTGGCAGAAAAAGTGTGCTCGATGGCGAAATATGGGGGTCGAAAAATCAAATACTGGGCAAAAACAGGGAAAAGTAAAATTGTAGTGTCTTAATATAAGTTAGAATGAACGCATCTACAGTTTAGAATGATAAGATATTGAACTCCAAGTGAACTGAAAATGCGCACCAACAATGCATGGTAACATGTTCCTAATCTGCAGATTCAGGAAAATATGCTCAAGAACTAGATACCTAAAATTGTAATTGATGATGCTTGATCCTAATTCGGGGTTTAAACAATATCATTTAAGTTAAGAATCAAGCATGCAATCAACAAATTTATAAAGGGAGTGTGGTTCGGGAAAATTATTGTGGTGGGTAGGATTTCCAAAATCCACACATTCAATCGGACACAAATGCTCACCAAGGCCTCCGAATCCACACACCTTAACTAAAGCAAGCACACACTGATTCTCATTCACCAAGAAATCAAAAAACAACATCATTTTCCAAAAAATTGAGCAAAAGCATGATGTCTTATTCTATTCTCCAATTCGGTGCCCCCATATGCATAAACAGAAGGATTAGGCGAAAACTTACCTTGAGCTACTTGCATACATGATTAGAAGCTCAAAACCCGAATTAGATGAAGAAGAATTGAAGAAAACAAAATTTGGAGATGAAATTTTGAGTTCCCTGCCTCCAAGCTCAAGTTCTAGGTCATGAAAATCGAAAATTTTGGGGGAAAGGGGTTCTAGCCCGAGCAGCTCTCGCGATCGTCCTTTTATGGACGCTGACAAGATCGCGTGGTAGGGCAAAAGATCCCGCGATCGTCCTTTTATGTATAGATACTTAGGGTTATCGAATGTGGTGAGTGAGCTCTTTTCCATAGGCCTTCATCGTTATCCACACGCCTCCGAGTACACCTCCCCTATACCCATGTTTCACTCACCTCGATCTAGCTATCGTATCTGGGGATTTAAGCTTATGGCTCATTTCAATAGACACTATACACCATCCACACCGAGGTTTCATCCCTGGTTCCATCTAGAAAGGTTATATAGCAGGGGTTCGGTCGCCTCGACCACTATAGCCCCCCATTCACACATCTAACCTAAAATCGCCAGCTGGCGTATACCCGTCTAACCCTAGAACTCCTTACCCAGCGCGGTAGCATAAACTAGGCTAAGAGGGAAGATTAGGGCGACTTACCCAAGCATCATCATTTAGGCAAGAATGACATTAAAAATCAACTAGACAAATACATTCATTCATTCAAACCCTATAATATCCATACATACATAATAAACCTAAAACTAGGATTTGGGATTTAGAACCCCTAGTACCTTAGAGAACTACTCCATAAAGGAGGGAAAAAGATACATGGTAGAAATAGAAGAAGACTTGGGGGTAGAAGATGCCTCCTTGCTCCTAGCTCCTCCTTCTCCTTCTCTTCTTCTCTCTTCAGCTTCTCTCTCTTCTCTCTATAGAACAAGAAATTTCACCCGAATTCAGCTCCCTTGAAAAGGGGAAAGGGGTCTTCTATTTATAGGCAACTTGGCTTTGGGGAAGTTTGCGGCCTGAGTCAGGGTTATCGCGGCCATGATCTTTGGTCATCGGGCCGTGATATCAAAACATGGTTGTCAAGGCGTTAAGGACGGGGGGAGATTGCAGTCCCACTTCACGATCACGATCCTTGAGTCGCGGTCGTCATCTTCCTCTCGGGATTTTTGCACGTTGGTCGTGATTCGACTGGGAAAAGTCCCTGCTCATCCATGGCTCCTTCCTCGGGAAGTTCACGCCATGGGGCTCCAAGATCGCAGTCGCGATCTTTGGCTGTTGGGTCGCGATCTTTAGTGAATCTTCACAACTGGAGATCTCGGCCGTGACCTTTGGCTTCTAGGCCACGATCTTTGATCCTTGCCACTTTTCTACACTTGTGACCTTGTTTTGTACCTAATTTGCACATATTGACTAATACACCCTATAATCACATCAAAATCAAATTGGAACGAAATAAGGATATATTTGACAATATTTAAACACTTAAGTACATGAATTGGCACAAAACATACCCTAAAGATTGAGGGTAAATAACACAGATTTTGGTGTTATCAAACTCCCCCACACTTAGGCATTTGCTTGTCCCCAAGCAAACCTACTCAAACCTAGAGAAAGAGAGCAGATACCTAGAGAGAGAAAGTGACGAACCAGAGTCTCCAAGAGCCTTTGATCGATCTTCATCACCATTGGAGCTCGGCTTAAGCTTGGAGAAGTGCATATTGCCTACCAGAAGCATATTCTCATCCTTCACAACATGAATTCTGCATCTGACCTAGATTTCCCCTCCTTCTCTATGGAGTAAACTCTCTCACTCACCTGGGTATGAAGTACCCTAGATTTGTATGTTAGGTCTGGTTGTATGAACCCAAATACGAATTCTTTGATACTGATTATATTCAATTGAGGCATGGTTTTCTGAATTACAAGAATCCTGATCAAATTCCTGTTATTCCTGCTTTGACCTAGAATGAGAATATCTGCCTAGGTTGATAGAACAACCTTGATTGAAGGTAGTGAATTTACGACTCTAGTCGAGGAGTCAATTCATTATTCTGTACTGGATTTATTCTAGTAGAGGAGGTTTGGTACGTTAGGGCCTCGGTCTGTTTACTCCGGTGGAGGTTAGTCGCCTAGAGACTCAGATTGAGAGGGTCTGGAGACCTTTAGTCGAGACTGCAGACTACCTAAGAACCTTCCGTAGTATAATTATCATTGAATCTGAACTTGGCAAATTACAACTTGGCTTAACTGTAGTCTAGGGGGGAACCATATCAGGGTGACCTCTCTCGAACTTGGAAAACAACATTTACTACTTTTGCTTGCTAGTTTAGTTGGAACTTCACTATAGGTTAACCGCTAAATAATAAGAATTTCACGGAGTAGTCATCACACCTAGGACCCGGGTTGACATTTAAACCTAACCCGCTATACTACGCATTAGTAGGTGGTTACACTTGGCCATTTTCTAGTGTGACGGCAGAAGTGATTCAAGTTTTTGGCGCCGTTGCCGGGGACGTCTAGGTTGTTGAAGAAACGTGATTTCTGTTACTTTAGCATTTCTTTTCCGCATTGATTGTTTAACTTTGTCCCACTTGTGCCTTCACGGGTTTGCTTTCTTGGATTGTGTGCAGGTAGTGTATGACCCATAGCTAGTTGGGAGACTTACTACCGTTAGAGTTGGAGCTAGAGCGCACTTATCGCCAGCTTAGGAGACAACAATGAGCAAGACTGGCTACGGAGGAAGTGCACCTCGACGGGCATCTGAGTAGCAACTCTGAAGAGTAATACGAGATGGGCGATCAACACAAAAGGGGGAACCTGAACTTGAACTTGGGGCAGAATCAACCCCTAGGGATGCCCATCAAGGTTCCCCCAGTGAATCAGGTCCTGGAAAATAACCCAGTTCCCCAGCCAGATGGGGCTCAGCATCCACCACCCCCGTTGGGGCCCACTATGGAGTACTACTACACTCCACAGGTTGCCGACATCCACCCCGTCATCCTGTATCCACCAATCCCAGCAAACAACTTTGAGATCAAGCCATGCTGGATTCAACCGATCACATCTTCCATCCCGTTCCATGGCCTCAAGGATGAAGAGGCGAGGGTGCACCTTTCTCAGTTCTTGCAGCTTACCAATGGGTTCAAGCTGAATGGTGTACTAGATGACACGATCCTTCTTCACCTCTTCCCCCACTCTCTAGCGAGGCATGCAAAGAGGTGGTTAGAGACCCAGCCCCCACTGTCCATCACATCATGGGAGTATCTGGCCGGCAAGTTTGTGCACAAGTACTACCCGGCCTCGAAGACCATGAAGATTCAACGAGAAATCACTCATTTCCGCCTGGAGCCCGATGAGTCACTACATGATGCCTGGGAGCGGTACTCGGGATTCTTCTGGCAGTGTCCCCATCACGATTTTAGTGATGCATTCACAGCGGGGAACTTCTATAGTGCTCTAACCCCATAGAGCCAGAGGGTGATCGAGTCTCTATGTCCAGGAGGGGAAATTTTCACCAAGACTCCACCCAAGCTGAATCAGATGATCCTGGCTGCTAGAGATCATTCTTGGGGGCAGAGCACTAGCGGCTGGAGCTCCCGGGATCGAGGTGTGCATTCTATGGAAGCTAGATCCGGGCTAGAGAGGGAGGTGGTCGAGCTGGTCCAGACATTAAAGCATCCCAACAGTGCACAGTGCCAATGGTGTGAGTGCTCCAATCACTTGGTAGAAGACCGCCAGGCTATGCGGGAGTCTACTACACCCTAGGAGCAGTTGGACTTCATCGCCAATGCTCGGCGCCTGGATCCTTACAGTGGAACATATAATGAAGGTGGCACCAGCATCCCAACTTCTACTGGAACAACAACACCAGCAACACCACCAAGCCTCTCGACTTCCCATATTCAGCAAGTGGTTTTCAGTAGAGGCAGCCCTTCCAGGCCATACAAGGCCCATTTCCACAGCAGCAGTCCTACCATGCCAGACAGGGGCAACCATTTTGAGCAGCAACAGAGATAGTGTGCCCAGCTGGCAGTAGCTCCAGCACAGGATGATCAACTGTCAGAGCTGAAGAACATGGTGCAGACCTTCGTGAGTGCCAGCACGACGAATTTTGCCAGGCTAGACCAGTGCATCACCTCATTGGAGGCAGGACAGAGGAACCAGGGTGCTGATAACACCTAAATTATACATATATTCACCTACACTTTTACATCCTAATTTGACCTAAATTGTACCAAGTTCATTTGATTTCCCAATTTTATGCTTGGTTTTGTGTTTGAGTCATGTTTCAGGGTATTCTATCCAATAAGTACGGAATAATGAGTCAATTCAACAAAAAGATGGTTAGGGTTCGAAATCTGACGTCGGTGGAACTCGAGCCCGCGACGTCCTAGGCGAGGCAAAGAGCCGTACCACTTCGGCCGCGTCCCCTTTTGTTAACAATATACGAAACCCATCGTGTATTATGGTGATGAATCACGGAAAGAGAGCTAATTAACAATGTAGAGTCAAACTACAAACTACAGAGTCAAACTGCCTACTACTAAACATAAGGAAAAGCTGGTTCATTTTGGGATTCTCATGGGAATTTAGTAGCTGAAGATAGTGACTTACGTCAAATTAGGAAGCTAGATGGTCCACTATTGGGAAGCAATTAGCTCTTCCATTTGTGTTCATCTCCCGACCATAAAGAAACAAGCTAGCTGGTCCATTTATTACAAGCAAGCAGCTGGCCATTGAAAGCTAGTAACTGGTGCAAATCAAATTGGTCGAGAGACAAGCTAGCTGGTCCATTTATTACAAGAAAGCAGTTGGCCATTTGAAGCAAGTAGTTGGGTTTTTAAAGTAAACAATTGGGGTAGCTGCACAAATGGAGCAAGCAAGCAGCTGAAATTATACTATAAATAGAGGGAGAGGGTTTGTGTTGAAAGAGGGGAGTACACACACTATACACACACTACTTCTATATTTTTTTCTCCCTTTCTTGTATTTGAAGTTAGCCGAAACTCTGTCCATTTTCATTCCAAACTCTTGTTACTTCTTTTCATTTCGTTAATCATATCTCGTATTTCATCCATCGTGGTTCTTATGTTTGTGTTCGTATTTGGGAATACCGTGGTATATTGCGTTATTGAGATCACCAAAGTGAGCTTCTATTTTGTGGGGTTTTGATAATCATTTGTGGTGGTAGATTGGTCGGTTTCCACCGTCTTCGCCCAACGATTATTCCAAGTCGGAAGTTTGCTAGGTGTAATCTTTTAACTCAATATACATACCGTATTCTCAACCCCGTCATCATCATGGTAATGTTCTCAACCTTCATCTTTCTAAATCTCATCATGTCTGGCTAATCTTCTAGTTGTTCCGGATTTGATGAACCCTAATATGTTTTACATTGATTGAGTAGTATCTTTGATATAGACTTGTTGTTCTCGTTCTTACGATCTTTTCTCGACTTATCCTGTGCAAGTATCAATAGTACGCGTTTATTGTATATTTTGTCTGATACATGTAAATGAGACTGCGAGGTAATTTTGCATGTTAGATCCCTCGTGAAAAGACGGAATTGATTGGAGCCACCGGCGATGGGGTCACGTAGTTCCTCTAGATTAACTTAAAAACCTAATACGAAATTTCATAAATCTGGTTATTGCTTTGGTTTAAGATTTTTGTAAGCCACAGTTTCACTTGATTCTTTAGTCGAAAGGGTGTTAATACATGTGCGAACGGCTTAACACTAAATTGGGAATTTTCACGGTCTAAGATATTAACACTCATCTATGTTAAATTCAACTTCTCTGTAAAATGCCTATTAAGGGGATTCACTTCCGGGACAATGCCTTCTCCAATTGATTTTACTTTGAAAACTACTTTATTGTATTTTTATTATTGTGTGTGTTTTTATTTCCAAATGAAAATCAACTAAAAACGATTGACTAAGTAATAGGTAAAAGCTGAGTACTAGTACACGGAGTCTCTGTGGATACGACCTTGCTTCCTGCATTACTACCTTAGAACGATAGGTACCCTTGCCTATTTTTCCTGTGTTAGTTACGGGCGATCAAGTTTTTGGCGCCGTTGCCGGGGACTAAGTTATTAGAAAAAGTTTTGAACTATTAATTTAGTCGCTTTATTTTTCTTGTTATATCACACTTGTTGCTTTCACGGGTTGTTCTTGTTTTTGTGCTTGAAATAGTGCATGACCCAAAACCACCCACTTGGACTATCAACCTTGATCCCGAGATCGAGAGAACTCTTCGTCAACGAAGGAGAGAGAAACAAGTGCAACCACACACAATGGCGGAAGAACACGCCGAAGTGAACAGTCGGACAATGTCTGTTTATGCCCGTCCTACCTTGGCTGGAACTCACTCAAGCATCCGAAGGCCCAATATCGAAGCCAACAACTTTAAAATCAAAACTAGAATGCTACAAATGATCCAAAATCGGGTGCAATTCAATGGGATGCCCGACGAAGATCCCAACACTCATATCAAGAAGTTTTTGGAGCTCTGTGACACCATCAAAATCAATGGTGCATCCGTCGATGCTATTCGCCTTAGACTGTTCTTGTTCTCTCTCGACAACAGAGCACGGGAGTGGCTTGACGGTCAACCACGGAATTCCACAACAACGTGGGATGAGTTGGGTGAAAAATTCTTAGACAAATATTTCCCACCAAGCAAGACGGCGAAGCTGAGGAACAACATCGTCGCCTACCGCCAAGAAGACTCTGAAACTCTCTACGAAACTTGGGAGAGATTCAAGAACACCCTCAGGAGATGCCCTCATCACGGCATTCCCCATTGGCTGCAAATGCAAACTTTCTACAATGGGCTAAATCCAGAGACGAAACAATCAATTGATGCAGCAGGGGGTGGCACCATCAACAACAAAACACCTCCCCAAGTAGAGCAGCTAATCGAAGACATGGCAATGAACAACTATGAATGGTATTCCGCCCCAAAACAAGTGCCGACCACAGCCAACCAGAAGTGTCGGACTACACCAAGTCAACCCAGTTACAGCCTTGGCCGCACAAGTTGAAAACCTCAACAAAAAGTTCGACCAACTCACTGTATCTGGCAAGGTGTACAAGTGTGAATGGTGTGCTGGTGACCACAACACTACCGAGTGCAAGTTGATCTCCTCAACATCCACCACCGAGCATGTTGATTATATCAACAATCCTCAGAGGAGCGGAAATCCATATAGCGGCACATACAATCCAGGATGGCGAAATCATCCAAACTTCTCTTGGTCCAACCAAGGGAATCAACGCTCTCCACCCAGATTTAATCAAGCATCATCAAGCAATTCCAATCAGAACCATCCACAACTGCCATCACAAGAAAAGAAATATAGTCTCGAAGATATGATTGGCAAGTTCATCTCCACCTCCGACTCCAAATTCCAAGCTCTAGACAAATACATTTCCGTCTCCGAGGATCGATTCCAAAACCTTAAAGCGGGCCAACGGCATCTTCAAGATTCGGTGCATAATTTGGAAACACAAGTTGGGCAAATAGCCAAGCTACTTTCTGAGAGAAATCAAGGCAGCCTGTCGAGCGACAGCGAAGTCAATCCGAAGCAGAAGCAACATTTGAAAGCCATCTCACTCCGGAGCGGCAAAAAGTTACAACCGAGCAACTCCCCTTAAACCGAGAAAGATACAAATTCAGAAAAAGATGCCGACACCACTCAGCCCCAAAAGCTCGTGGTGCCAAAATAGGAGTCAAAAATTCCATTCCCATCACGACTCCACAAGGATCGCCTTGACGGACACTTCGGCAAATTCCTGGACCTCCTGAAGCAAATTCATGTTAATATCCCATTTGTGGAGGCCATGTTTCAAATGCCAAAGTATGCTCGGATCCTGAAAGAAATCCTCACCGACAAGCGGAAATTGGAGGATCTGTCAACAGTAATGTTGAATGAGGAATGTTCGGCCATCCTCCAAAACAAGCTTCCGGAGAAACGAAAAGACCCAGGGAGTTTCACTATACCTTGCTTAATTGGTTCTATCTATATTGATAAATCTTTAGCTGACCTTGGAGCAAGTATAAATAATAAATGTTATGCCATATAAAATATTTAAACGTTTAGGGCTAGGTGAACCTAATCCTACACGAATGAGCATCCATTTGGCTGATCGTTTCATAGTGCATCCTAGGGGAATCATAGAAGATTTAATTGTTAGAATTGGCTCATTCATATTCCCAGTAGATTTTGTGATCCTAGATATTGATGAGGATGTCGATGTGTCATTAATTATTGGTAGACCGTTTCTTGCAACTGCAAAGGCTCTAATTGATGTGAATGATGGAAAATTGATTTTGAGAGTAGGGGAAGAACAAATGACATTCAAAATTCCAGAAAGCATGAAATATGCTCGTGAAAATGATGATGCCAATTTTTGTTCGGATATAATTGATACTAAGACGGCTAACTTTGTTTCTGAGATTCTTTATTTAGATGCTTTACAACTTTGCCTTACTCAAGGACAGGAAACAACGGGATCTGTCCAACAAATTGAGCAAGCTGCGCTATTGGAGGAATCCGAAGAATTGGAGCAGGAGGAGAAGGTGGTAGAAATCCCTAAATCAGAGAAAATCAAGTCCTCCATCGAAGAACCACCAACTCTCGAACTGAAGGAATTACCAAACCACCTCGAGTATGCTTTCCTTCGAGAGAACTCCAAGCTCCCCGTCATCATCAACGCGGCCCTAACTAACGAGCAGAAGGGGAGATTGATCAAACTACTGAAAATTCATGAACAAGCCTTGGCCTGGAAAATCTCCGACATTCGAGGAATCAATCCCTCATTTTTCACGCACAAAATTCTGATGGAGGATGACTACAAGCTGGTGTTTCAGCCTCAACGTCGACTCAATCTGAAAATGAAGGAAGTAGTGAAAGCTGAGGTGATCAAGTTACTCGATGTTGGAGTAATTTACCCCATCTCCGACAGTTCATGGGTGAGCCTTGTACAGGTAGTCCCGAAAAAAGGCGGGATGACCGTCATCACCAATGAAAAGAATGAGCTCATCCCCACCAGAATAGTCACCGGTTGGAGAGTCTGCATCGACTATCGTCGCCTGAATGATGCACCAGAAAAGATCACTTCCCACTCCCATTCATTGATCAAATGCTTGAGCGATTGGCCGGCCACAATTACTATTGCTTCCTCGATGGGATGTCTGGCTACTTTCAGATTCCCTTCTCACCAGAAGATCAAGAGAAAACCACATTCGCTTGTCCGTACGGTACTTTTGCGTATCGACACATTCCTTTTGGATTATGCAATGCACCAGCAACCTTTCAACAGTATATAATTGCCATCTTTGATGAGTTGGTGGGAGATATCATGGAAGTCTTCATGGATGACTTCTCAGTATTCGGGGATTCATTTGACAAATGCCTCCGCAACCTCGGAAATGCGAAGAGACGAATCTCGCTCTCAATTGGGAGAAATGCCACTTTATGGTGACCGAGGGCATTATCCTTGGACACAAAATTTCATCACAAGGCATTGAGGTTGATCTATCAAAAATTGACGTCATCTCCAACCTTCCACCACCAGTCAATGTGAAAGCAATAAGGAGTTTTCTTGGGCATGCCGGCTTCTATCGACGCTTCATCAAAGACTTCTCCAAAATTGCTCGACCATTGACAAAGATTCTCAAGAAGGATGCTCCATTTGAATTTGCGGTGGAATGCAACGACGCATTTGAGGCACTAAAGCACAATTATGGTGGGTCCCGACTGGAGCCTACCGTTCGAACTCATGTGTGACGCATCTGACTACGCCGTAGGAGCTGTCCTCGGCCAAAGGTATGACAAACATTTCAAACCATTTTCTTATGCAAGTAAAACCTTAAATGATGCTCAAGAAAATTACACAACAACTGAAAAGGAATTACTAGCTCTGGTGTTTGCATTTGATAAGTTCCGATCATACCTAGTTTTATCACGATTCGTTGTTTTTACTGATCACTCTGCTTTGAAGCATTAAATGAACAAGACAGACGCCAAAACTCGTCTGATTCGATGGATTCTTCTTCTTCAAGAATTTGACATCGAAATTCGAGATAAGAAAGGCGCAGAAAATTTGGCAGCAGATCACCTTTCCCGACTGGAAAATCCAAAAGATGATGTTTCGGATGAAATCAATGAAACATTTTCGGATGAACGACTCTACACAGTAAGAAGAGTTGAACTTGAAACCCCATGGTATGCGGATTTAGCCAATTACTTGGTGGGAAAGACTCTGCCAACGGGGCTCTCGTACCAACAAAAGAAGAAATTCTTTTCTGACCTTAAATCTTATTTTTGGGAAGAGCCATATATGTTTAAAGTCTGTGTAGATTCTATCATCCACCGATGCATCCCGCAACCCGAAGCATGGAGCATGATTTCTCATTGCCACCAAGGTCCGACCAGAGGACACCATGGAGCCAACCAACGCGAAAGGTATTGGAATGTGGATTTTATTGGCCAACAATCTTTAAAGATTGTGATGCATATGTATGCCAATGGTCAGGTAATATTTCCCAACGTGATGAAATGCCACAAACAATGTCCATTGTTTGTGAAATATTTGATATTTGGGGAATTGACTTCATGGGACCTTTCCCGACCTCATTCGGGAACAAATACATACTCGTGGCAGTGGATTATGTATCCAAGTGGGCCGAGGAACAAGCTTTGCCAACTAATGACTCTCAAAGTTTTGGAAAGTTTTCGAAGAAACTGTTTTCCAGGTTTGGATCACCGCGAGCAATCATCAGCGACCAAGGAACCCACTTCCAAGGTCAATTCGACAAAGTTCTCCAACAATTTGGTGTAACTCATCGGGTCTCCACCGCTGACTCGCTATGACACAACTCCTAACAATGGCCAAGTGTAACCAATGAAAGGGACTGCAGTATAGTGGCTCAAGTAATAAATATCGAATCCACGGGTCTCTAGAGTTACTATTACTCAGGTTCGGTTCATTATCTAGCAAACCAGATTAAGATGGAAGAACTAAAACTACTCTAGCAAACTACAGTTAAAGTAAATCTAATTACAGGTTGGGAACTCACTTAGGTATGATTCCCCCTAGCCACTAGCCAGATTAATGATTGATGATCTCTAACCTGTTTCACTTTCATTCACAATGCGGAGAATCCTTGACTAGACCTTGAGTCTCGACTAAAGGAACAAGGCCCTCTTGATTCAATTACCTAGAGGGACGTATCCTTCTCTAGAACAACCGATCAAGGCGTTCTGAACTAGACTCCCTCTATCGAAAGAGGTTCTCAATCGATACAAAGCAGTGAATCAACCCTCGATTAAAGCAATCGATCCAATACTATCAATCTATGGTGCTCTATTGACCTAATCAGGTATTTGCTCTCATAGGATCAAAGCAGAATCAATAATCTCGACTAAAAGCAGAATTGAATCATGAAAACGTGCATAGATTGAATATGAACTCAAGATTATCAAGTAAGAGTACTCATACAATCATCCAATCAAACAAACATGGCTAGGGTTCCTCAAAACCTAAGTGAAGGGAAGTTACTCCATGGAGAAGAGAGAGACTGTAGTAAGAATCTTCAAATGATCAGTCTTCAAGTCCGGGCTTGTTCCTCGAGCTTCTAAGGCAAAGAAATCCTCCAATTCCACTCTTAGAATGCCCTCAAATCGCCCTCTCTCTTTGGTTCGTCCCTTGGGTGTTTGGGATCCAAAACCCAGCTCTCCCTTGCACAAACGCACAGAACAGGCTTTTAACAGCCTGCATTCGCGATCCACGATCATAATAACCGGTCCGGTATTTTAGGCAGTGACTGGGTATCTTCAAAACTCACCGTTGGGTAACAGGGGAAAATCCCCGGTCATGGCCAAGAATCCCTGACCGGGGATTTCTGCTTCCTGCCCGGGCCCCCTTCTGCTTCTCAAAGACGCCCAAAGCGTCAAATCCCCGGTCATCTCCAAATAATACCCGGACGGGTATTTCTGCTCATGGCCGGGTATTTTTGCTCTCCAGCACACTTCAAACCACACATGCTCCTTTCGACCCGAAACTCGTTCCTTATCACATGTAACTCATGGCCGGTGCAAGCCTCTTCCACCTCAACTTCGTCCTCGGCCTGGACGCCAACTGCTTCATCAACCCCCCCTTCCTTCTTCATGCGGTATCACCCCCGGGAAATGATCAAGAACTCCTTTTGCTTCACTTTCGTCATCCTCCACAACTTCTTTCTGCACCCTTTCTCGCTCTTCTTTTTCTAGCACGGATTGGAGAGCAAGTTGCCAAGCAATTTCATTCATGAGATCTTCTTGCATCTCCTCATTCATGCCCGCCTCTTCAAAGCTCAGTTTGGGATGTGGGAAGGTGTGGTCAGCTACGACAGGATATTCCTGATCATGATCATCACGGGAGCTCTCCGTGACAACTTCAGTGTGCTCCACAATGTCCTTGTAGCCTTCTTCTTCCTCCTCCTGTTCTAGTATGGTAGCAGAAGGGTGATCTTGAGCAAGTTGTGCACAAACTTGCTCAACTAGCTCTGTTTGCTTTGCTGAGTGCAGAACAGTCTCCTCCGATTCACAAAGGGATGAAGAGTTAGGAGGAGCAAAAGATGGGAAAAGGAGGTCCATATTGCGATTGCGTCTCTTGGTGTCCCGAGTAAACTGCTCCACGAGAAGCCTCAATTCATAGTTTGGATCTGGTCGTGGATTGTGGCATGGCTCTGCAGAATGGCACGTGAAGGCCGCCATGGGTAACTCCAGCTCCGATGGCCCTTCTGGTTGTGGGAGAAATTCTTTTTGATAAGGAGGTTGTTCTTGATATGCCCAGAGGTCTGATTATTTTCCGTAGTAAGGGGGTTGGTACTGGAACCCGAGTCCATAGTCTTCTCCTCCTTGATTGCTCCAGGGAGTCTCGGGGTAATACCACTCGGATGGCGGTGGATACCCCCAATGATTTGAGAAGCCATGGGATCCATGATTCAGATCTGCACCAACAAAAACAAAAACACCCAAGTGAAAAGCAAGGGTGGAAAAGA